AAAAATTGATGTGGGTACTTAAATGAAAGGTCTTGATGAGATATACATCGGGATGAGCTTATATCTTTAAAAATATCAATAGTTCACAAGATAATTGTTAAATTGCGCTGTACCTTCTTAACTATTGACATTTGTAAAGATATAAGCTCATCCCGATGTTACACTCATCGAGACCTTTCATTTGAGTACCCACATGCATTTTCATATATTTTTTATATATACATATATATGATACATATAAATATATGAAAAAATTGATGTGGGTACTCAAATGAAAGGTCTTGATGAATATAACATCAGGATGAGCTTATATCTTCAAAAATGTCAATAGTTCACAAGATACAAGTTCATTTCTTAATTATGTATCTAGAAATAGAGTATTTTCAAATGCAGCCTAAATACTTATAATAAATTGGCTATTGGTGAGAATGATATGAAACCATGAAAAGACACAACTAATGTGGATAATTTATAATTAATAACCTTCAGACAGCGCTAAAACTGATTCCTTGCTCCGTAAATTTCTTAATGAAAACATTGCTCGGTATCTGTCAAAAAGACTGAGTTCTTCATTCAGAAGAATACTTTTCAATTCTTCAACATCTTTGACTGGTAGCGGCGGAGCAGGATCCACTGACGCATAAGGATTCTCAGAGGATTTATCTGATGATTTTTCAGCATTTTTCCACCACTTCAAGCGGTTCAGCGCTAGCTGACAGGTCTCAGCAACTTCGATCACTGGATCTTTGCTGTATTCTTCTAATATTGGAATTACGCTTTCATCTCCGATTGCTCCTAGTGCTTCACCTGTTTAATAAAAGAATTAAACTTTTCATTTTTTTCCATAATTAAAAAAAATGTTTTTTTTATAAACTAATTAAAAACCCTTTTTTGGATAAAATTGTCTACTTTAAAGATTTTATAATAAAACAGAGTGATTAAAAAATAATAATCGTACCAGCTTCATGCCTGACCATAGGCTCTTGATTAACATCCTTGAGAACATTAATAAGAACAGGATTAGCTCTTGGATCCTGCATTTGTCCTAAACAATAAGCAAGCTCGTGCTTCAACAAAGCTGATGGATCTTTAAATCCTTGTTCTATAGACTCAATCGCCAGTTGACCTCCAATATTTTTCAATGAAAACAATGCACGAAACCGCTCTTTCAACGGCCTCGTTTCATCATTCAATACCTTTCCTATCCCTCTTATTTTTTCCTCATCAATAGACATCTTTTTCCTCTTTAATATTGATTTTCCTAAACAAATAAACAACTGACATTAAAGTTAGCAGTAATTTGACCATTTTTTGATTTTTTTTAACAAAAAAATTTCCTCCAACAAAATTATTTTTAAGAAATTGCATTTTTTATTTTTTAAAATTTTTATTTATGAAAATAAAGTTAGTTGACATCTAAAAATTTTTATGATTTTTTTTTATTAAGGTAAAGTACCCAGTACTTGAACACTTCTAAAAATGGGACCAGTAGTTGAACAGACTTTTAGAATTGTTGTAATACAAAATCTGTATATATATTATGAGTAATATGCGCATGTTATAATTATTCAATGATACAGTAATTGAATTTGGTAAGTTTTTTCAATAATAAATCAAAACAATTACATTTTTGTTAACTTTAAAGTTGACATGTCGAGAATAACTGATAGATGCTATTTTTTTCATGAAAAAGGTACTAAACCGTAAACTGAACAATCAGTAAAAAAAAACGGTATATCATCATTTTAAGTGAAAAAAATTGTACCACCCAATGAAATAGTCTTTTCTAAATAATACATATTTTTTGCAAAGACATAAACTATAATTTTTATATTAAATTTTAGCGTTCAACAATACCTTCCAATTTTCAAAGCGGTACCCAGAACTTGAACAAACTGGGACCATATAATTTTAACAGCACTCTAACCTTTAATAAGTTTATAGACTAGTGATCAGTATTGTGACTTGTATCAATTACTGCAAATTAAATAAGTTTTAGAACTAAAAATTAGTATAGTTAAAAACTATTGAACGTTTTGAATTGAGTTTTTTTAATTTATAATTGAAAATTTACTATGTCATTCATAAAAAATGTAATTAAAAAATATTACAAATATTTTTCATTTTTAAATGAACATATTAAATATCCACAGTATTATTTTTAATATTACTCAATAATATGTTATAAATCTTTGAATATCTCAATAAAACGTTAAAAATTTTTGGTGTTCCTATTGCCATATATTTTATTAGTTCAACTACTGCTCCCGGAGTGTTTAACTACTGCGGCTTGTCAGAATTGATTGTTCAACTACTACTCCTTTCATAGTCTATCTTAAAAACGTCAAAATATAAATATTCAATTATCTGCGTTAATTTGCGCTTCAATCAATTCAAAATTGTTTATATTTCCATGAAA